AATAAATGACATCTTGGTAGAAGAACTTTTTATTTCCATTTGTTAAATAGTTTGGTTTTCAATTGTCCGATTGTTTCTACTGCACTGACATTGTGCAATGGCAATGCTGAGTGATTCAGTGGAATGCGGTCACAGACCAAAATAGTACATTAAAAACAAAATCTAAAAAGTAGCAGAAGATACAAGAACATTAATAACTTAAAAATTTTGTATGCGTAAAGTGCATGGTCGCATTATGTGAAATTGGCAATTTACATAAATATTTCATCATTCATGCTCTTTCAGCACAAAGAAGCAATCTGTTTAAAATGTTTCACAAATACATCAGCCTTATTGGAAATGTTTTTTTCACCATCCTTATGCTTGACCTTTCTGTAATTTCTTTTTGTATCGAAATATTTTCCATGATTAGAAATTATATCTCGCTTTTTCCACATCGTAAGCTGTCTTCTTGGCAGATATCGGTGTGGCTACATCTATTTTGTATTTTTCGAGTACTGCTCATCTTATATTCAATACGGAATGCTCTGTGTTTACAGATCTGCATATGCATGAATTTGTAACACATTTATTTAATTTTTCTGCTGAAAATCACAGAAGTTGTGAAAAAATATGAGAAATATAGTAAAAAGAAGATTCAGCTCAACATATTCACAAAGTTTATTATACAGTCAAAAGTCGTTAATCCGCGATTCCGGATTATTGATTTTTCCATATTATAGATCATCAGTTTAAATCTCGTAAGATGGCATGCAGAAATTCTAAAATTAAAAATATGAAACCGTAATTTTATGAAATAAAGAAACATTATGATCTAAAGGGTATCAAAATTTGCAAAAAGAAAAAGCTTAATATTTATTTGTTTACTTTATTAAATATTTCTTTCAATGTAAGTTGTTTAAGTTTTGCTTCGTTTCATGTGATAATACTTTCTCTTTAATTCTATTAAACAGACATAATTTCTTGTTCAGTTACAAGTTCCGCTGTTCAAGTCCTATAATTGCTGTGTCGAGAACACCGACTAATTTGTCCAATCGAAATTTTTTCGTTTCAATAACCTCTGTCACTTTCTTCGCTATTGGAAGCGAATTATAATGACGAGGAACTTGTTTTAAATCGTATCAAAGACGGAGCATGTCGAGATGAAATTACTACATTTGGTAAGGAATTATAAGCCAAATAAAATAAAAACATCTGCGCTGAAGATAAGGATAGTGCTGACAGATCAACTTCCAATTCATTACGCGCCCGCCGCGCGGCGTTCCCCCCCCGAGCAGCGTGAAATTTGAAAACAGATTTCGGATTTCAAAACATACTTTCGCTTTAGATCCTTTACATATTACAAATATATATCGAAAATTCTATTTGATATAATCGAAAGTTTAAGCTACTTTTATAAAATTGCTCTTACAGTCTGCAGAAATAATAAGCCGGATCCAATTCGAAAATTAAGGAACAGCGCAATCATCAACATTAACTGAAATAGATAATTAGATAATTTTAGCTTATACGTCCATTATACATAAAACGCGCACCGAAAACATATTCTGCACTTGCGCACACTCATATGCGCAGTCGTAAAAGGTCTTACGCGCACGCGTAAACGCCTATGCGCATGTGTTAACGTGGCGCATGCGCAGAAAGATTTTAGTTTTGAGGTCCCGATTATAGATCATTCCGAATTATGGGTGTCCGAGTTAATGAACTTTTGACTGTATTCAATTTTTATCCATATGGAAATTCGTTATAGATGTTGAAATAACATTTCAGTGTAGAGGAAATTGGAATGGAACCAAAAAGTTTGTTCATATTTGGTGATCTGTTATAAACCAGTGTTTGCTATGGCAAGGGTTTGACCATATTACTCAATGAAATGAATAGTAGCACCAGGCAGGAATATAGGTGAAGAGGTGCCAGATTACCTATGCGCAAAACCATCTAATGCCTAACTGTTAGACTTACTTCTTAATTTGTGTATCATTAATTGTTCTGAAATTAATATAATATTCCACTTTGGATTGATTATAGGATTGGTATAGTATTTTGTTGTTAAAAAAAATCAGAATACACATCTTACATTTATCTTCTGTGATTATTTCTTATTTCTTTTAAAAATATGTTTTCCAAAAACACGTCGTGAGACCAGCAATTTGAGATCACAGGATTATGATTATGGTAGCTGATCTGTGCACTGACATAAAGTATCTTCATTTGCATGTTTCTTATGATGTCATGTGTTAGGATTTTACTTAATACGTTGTGTAATTTTATACTTTGTGTACAAGTAATTTTTGTGTGATTTTACTTACCCTTTCTGACACGTTACCTTTTAAAGTTGGAATTTGGACCAAAAAAAAAAAAAAAAAAAAAAAAAAAAGAGGTAGGTAGTCTAATCAGGCCTAGAGGATACACTGGTAAAATTTTGTGAAGATAGCACTTATTGTTTTAATTCTGTGGATGTGCCCAAAGCGAGCACACTGAATGAATGGAGCTTCGAAAAGAGTGCTGAAACGAGCATTGGTGGGAAGCAATGCTCGTAAGTAAAAGATTTTGCCTGCGATTAAAAAACACTAAATTCTGAATACCTTAGTAGATTTAGCATTACCCAGGTGTGCCATGGGAAGGCCTGCTACTCTACAACCCCTACTGCTACTCTGCTACCCCTAAAAAAGCTCTTTTTGGTTATATGTTGATTACATTCGTATGAATGAAAAAAAAAAGTAACTTATATGATATTTACATTATTTACATTTCATATTTACACTTTTGTCTAATTTTTTTCATGGTGGTACTTTTCGAAGAAAGTGACACCACCTTCGAAAAAGCATAACCCAGTACTGCATGTTTCGCACATGTTATATCCGTATCAGATTCACTATCTGAAAGCAATTCGTGTAGCACTTTCAATGCTTCAGAAGTAGTCAGCCCTCTCCAATCCATTTGGAAAATAATTAAAAATCCGGAAAAAAGAAACTAATATTATATTTACAAATTGAAATTATAAACTATAAAATAAAATTAAATGAACGTCTACCACTCAAAACTATTAAATGTAGCGCTAACAAAACTTCTTTGAACGAAAGCGAAAAAAAAGAAAAAAAAAAAAAAAAGAGAACTGCTGTAGTAGAAAACAAAACAGCTAAGTGATAAAATTGCCCCTGACCTTCAAAAAATCACCCCAACAATTTCTTAGTTGATAACCAAACTTCCTCCCCCCCAGGGGGAAAAAAAACGGCGAAGACAAAAGAAGAAAGAGAAAAACAGGAAATGAAACACAGATGTGAACCCAGCATGGAAAATCCGTTGGAGAAAGATCAATAATTCACGGCTATAAATGCAGAGAAATATCATAAATATGTCCCTTCTGCTTGTTTATTCTAGAATAGTTTTTTGTGTTATGTCATGTCATCTGAAATAAATTAATGGAATAACGACTTTATTCTTTTAACCCCCGATGCCCATAACCCGTAAATCAGTCATTTGTTTATAGATGAAAGGGAAAGGAAGTGGAAACCAAGTGCTGAAAGGCAAAACTGCTTTATCATTCAGCGGCGAGGGAGGAGGGAAAGCCGTTAAATCATCTGAAGTACTTGAACAGCCTGCCAAATTAAGAGAAAATTCTTTTTGGGGGGACAATAAAAATAACCTACTTATTTCATACGAAATTATTAATTAAAGACAAATGGATTTTTTTAAATATGCAGTTTTGCATTACTTGGGATTTTTTTCTGTATTTTTGCAATGTTAATTTATCAGCTAATTTCTCAGGCTTTATTTCTACTTAGTTTCAGTTAAAAAAGCAAAAAAGGTGGAATCATTGATAAATTGTTATTCTGGATCTTTTTGGTTCCAGAAAATTGTCTTTCCAATACTTTATTATTATGACTGTGTCAAGTATTGATTAATAATAGCATTTACATCCTTTAGAAATTTTTATTTTCATATTTTAAATTTAAATAAAAACTATGAGTGAGTTACATAAAAGCATGTAAAACATATGAATGTAATATAATTTTTTAATATATCTAAATGATAGTTAAATAAATGATTATAAATATCCATAACATCAGTTTGTCTTTCTGATTACTTGAATTTTTGCTTTTATTTTGTTTTGAGGATTTCTATTTTTAAATAAGTTGCTGTAAATTTACAAATGCTCATAATTTGTGTACAACAATGCGAGAGAAATACTATAGCTGTCTATAGCTACATACAGTTTTCTGATGCATAATTAAGTTTTATTTTTAAATAAATTAAATAACAGGTCGTTTTCATATTTTCACTAATTCTTCTTCATTTAAATGGTTGTAAGTAAAAACTATGAGTTCAAAATAAAACTTATGAGCATGTTATCTTATTTACTTTAGCATGTGATAAAATACAATGTAGGACAGAGAAATACCACACTATGAATAAAGTTATTTGATAAAGCCCAGACTTTGTGCATAATTAAATAGTCAAGCACTTAACAAATAGTTTAATTTTCAAAAATGTACAAAGAATAGACAGACAATATTAATTTCATGCATCATTATTGCATCTAATCAGTGAGTCCCTGAATAATAATATCCTGCAGTATCTATGGAAACACATTATTGATAACTCCACAGTTCATCTCTCATTTCAGGGAGGAGCGGAGGTATTCAATATTCCATGAATGTTTGTTTAGTGAGACATCCGATGAAAGTCCTTGCTAAGGTATTATTTGTATACCTATAAATGTATTTATGGTCTGTCGAGCAATTTGTGGTCAGATGTTATCTTGTTGAAATATGGTCTTGGGATCCCTTGACGATATAGTATTTCTCTCACATTCACTTGATCTGTCACAAAATGAACATTTGTGGAATATAACTCCCACAGATAATTAGATGTCAGTGATTTTGCTTCTTCATAATGTTTTTTTCCCGTGTCAAGTACTTGAAACAAATAAATTGCTTGTTTTCTGTTTATGTGAATTTCTGTTTGATGCACTGATTGATTTGTTTAACTGATTTTAGTTAAACATGCAAAGGCTGTCTTCCCAAGAAGAAAGATGCTTCTGTGTGGACTGTGTAATGAAAAATGACTTGTATTCACTCTGTACATGAGAACAGGGAGAAAAAATGAATTGGGACCTTTTAAAATATAACAGGAGACATTCTATAGATTGCTAATATTTTCATAGTTCAGTACACCACAAGGAGACATCAAGTGAACTTTCTTCGATAAAGATTCTAAATGAACTTCTAGAAAAGTTTCATTTAGAACTAATTGTTTGTTATGTGAATTCACCTGCTTTCATTTTGTAACTGCTAACTTACTTCTACTGTAGCATTATACTTTTGTAATAATGTATGCTATTGTCTGTCTTTGTAGCGTATAATAGGTTTTTAAAAATAAATTTTTTTTAATGAGATTGTGTATTTCAGTTAATTTTTTGTATTAATAATTTCTCTTTTTTTCTAAACTGAATGATAAATTCTTTTTCATATCCACACTGTAATATACACACAAAATACAGTTCATGACATTAGTAACACACCACTGTACATGTGTATGATTTTGGAAAGAAGAAAAAATTTTCAAAGTGAAGTTAGTTTGAGCTTTATATTTTTTATTCCCGCACATCAAAAATAAATTACGTGGTCAGTGATTTCCGACACCCAAAGAAGCGGTTGATGCATTCAAAACGCATGTTTTGGAGTTACCTCAATCGAAGTAGAAAAAGTGCTTCGAAAATTGGTTCAAACTCATACAAAAGTGTATTGATCGGAGAATATTTTGAAAAACAATAAGACCAGTTTCCATCATACAGATTTGTTTTTTCGTTTAGGCTAGAAATAAAAATAGGATTACTCGTATAGTATTTTTCAATTAAAAGTAAGACACTCTTGTCAAAACATGCTGCTTTCTTTTCTTTTTCAAACATTTCTTGTCATTTTTCTATTTTAGCTTGCAAGGTAAATTGCCTTTTTTTTTTTTTTTTTTTTTATTATTAAAAAAGGTTAAACTGAAGTTGTATTGAATTTATAATTCGGAGTAGACAAATGAACTTTCTGCAGCCGTATTTTTATTCTAAATTAATTTTATTAGTTTTCCATTATCGTGTTTTTGTTAATAATTCATTAAAATTATTGGATTAATTACGTTATTTAAAATACATATTCTCAAAGTAAAGGGTATAGGATTCATTTTTCTTTTGTAGTTTAAAAGAAAATAAAATATTATATGACATGAATCCTAACTTAACGGATCTCGGTGATAGAAATTCTGTTACGAAAAATAAATAAATTACCGAAAAACTAGAGTTGGAACATTTATAAATGCCAAAAGTAAGAGGAGAATTGTAATCAACACTCGTTTTAAAATATAAATAATATTGCATCTGCAAAAGAGTGTATTTACTGAGCTGTCTTAATATCTCTGCTGAAATGGCTAATAAATTTCATCGTGTATCCGGATTCCGCCCCCCTTTTTTTGTAAGGATTGAAGGTTAACGATAAAAAAATGTGTTCTTGAAGCAAGCGCTGAAAATTTCATGTTGCGTAATTTGAAATGTATCCAATAAAATAAACTCTTGGGCAATTGACTTTTTTAATTTTTTATGAGGTTCTCAAAGGAACGTTTTGAATATCTAACGAAAATAACAATCCAGATTAGATGACGAAGTCACTTGGGCAGGTTCCTGGGCATCGGCCTACCGTGTGTGCAGTGAGCTAGATGAGCATATCTTGAGAAAGCGCAGCGTAGCAGGGAGAAAAAAGCAATTCTTATGTAGTCATTTCTTATGTATATGACATTTGTGGATAGCAGTTATAGGCAGTAGTAGCTGAAGAATTCTAGGTAAATAAAACTTAATACTGATAGCAGTTCAAAGAATACGGTTATTATCTAGTTACTTGAGAGTCATGAAACGAACACCTTCATTCCTGAGTTAATATACTCCCCGAGTTAGTACCGTTGCTGTCTGCTATAGTCTTAAAATAGCAGTTTGTGTAATGCAAACGCGCGACATTCGAATTATTATTTGATATTCTTGAATTTCCTTAAAAAAATTTACTGCTTATAATCTTGTTATACCACAACATCCAAGTTAGTTTAGCATTTTCCTCGACGTTGTGGATATTTTTCCAAGTAGGTATTTTATTTAGATATATATATATATGTAGCATTTTCTATTTCGGGATTTTTACATTCTTACTAACTTCTGTTTAAGTAATTAGATAATTGGTATGATTTATGTGTAATAATACTTTCTTTTTCATCAACTTTTTTTTTTTTTCCACCAATCTAAAAATCGAATTCATAGAAATAGAAATATTCCTAACACTTTGTGTTTCAGAAACTCGTAAACGTTGTTTAATATGTTTTTTTGGAGCCTGAAATACAAGAAACGGGATGGTATTTGACTATTATATGATGGGTATAATATTATTTTTACTGGAAATTCTGTGCAAAGAATGTATAATTTGAAGTTTACAATTCTGCTGTAGACTTATTTATTTATACACACACACACAAGCAAGCACGTATTAGTGAAATGCGTTATTGCTCAAAGTAGTGTTTAAAAAATGTGTCAAGAGAATTTTTGTTAATTAATAATATGTCGAATACCCATTCTCATATCTTTCTTTTACTTACTGTGTGCGACTGAACAAGAAATATTATGGAGCATTTTTAAGTGCAAAATATATTGCTCGAGTTAGTGATAATCAGTTTTAGCAGTGTAGTATGTATTTAATTCCAAGGAGTACAAATAAAAGGTATAGTTGATGTGTACCTGACATAAATGCTAGTTATTTGAAAAATATGTAAAGTACTTTATTTGCGTTACTTGATCATCTTTCATAACTTACTGAACTGAAACAAGTTTCTTGTGAATCGGTTAAGAAACTAGAAAGATTTCTACTATTTTTTGGTGTGATGTGATATTATATGCGCTTTTAGTATATGCATATAAGAAGTGCATTACAGAAAATTTTTGTATGATGCATATTATAAAATTGATTCAATTTATGTGTTTGTGAGTGTTCAAAACAACTTGCGTTTGTTCCTAGTGAACTTGAAATTTATAGTATTTTGGGTGTGTGATAAGGTTATATGCACTTTTAGAATGTGCGTGTAAGAAGCGTATAAAAGAAAATCTTCTTATCATGCATACACATAATATAGTTTTCAATTTAATTCATGTAATAAATGAAAATTCTGACAAGAATTTATATTTGTTCCTTGCGAAATTAATGTATTTTTGGGTTTTCGGAAATTTGAGTATTTTTATTCTTTTAGTTATTTTATTTATATATATAAAGAATTTTCTGTTTCTACCATGACTAGGGTTTTTACTGTAGAAATGTAATGTGTATAGATGCAATTCTATATTTAATTCTTAATATTTTCTCTTTTAGGAATTTATATTTTCTATGTATAATCAATTAGGTTACTTTTTTCTGATTTATATTACTTTCCGAATAGTATGTGTTTGATGCTTTTTTATTGGACACTCACGTTTATAATGCAGCTTTTTTAACATGGTCTTCATTTTGACTTGAGAAAAGAATTTAAGCCTTTTTTTTTTAGTTTTATTTAATTGTTTTATTTTCATTTACAGCATTATTATATTTTCAGGTATTAATTAACGATTTTTTTAATTTAAAAAAACCTTTGAAAATTCAGACTTCTGTCTTAATTTAAATACAGATTATCTTTCTCTTTTGGTTTGTTTCAAAAATCTGAAAGTACTAAATTTAATGTTTTGCCAGAATTGTAATTATTTGTATGTATTATAACTTGCAAGTAAGTTAATAGTTATGATCATGTGTGTTGTTAAGCTTGATTTCTTTGATAAATAGTTAAAATTGAATTCTTTTTACAGGTATTGATAATTGTTTTAGCCCAAAGGGCTATTAATTTCGTTTTGCCATTTTGCATTGAAAAACTTTAAAAGGTTGTATCACATTTCAAATTGTTGCCACCAAATAGTATTCCCTGTTTTATATTTAAAGAAGTTAAATAATGAAAAATCTGCATAAAGTATCGATGTTCATCGCGTTGTGATAAAACAACGGTATTTAGAGCCATCAAATATTGAATAACGTAGTCTTCCACTCGAATATGGGCATCTGGAAGCCCTAATTTGGAATTTGTTTTAATCTATTTCATATTTTGTAAAACTTTAAAGAATTTGTGGGGGTAAAGGGTAGAGGCCAACATTAATTCGAGAATATTTGAGAGCTCCTTACTTTTATTAATTTTTCTTGATAAATTTTTACAGGTACTCTTGATGGGCACCAGTGATATTAGTATTGTTGAAAAATGTGAATGAAATGCATGTTGAAGTATGAAGTATGAATATTTGAAAGATTTTTTGCCATGTTGCCTACTTTAGGAAAGGAAGCTGTTTTAGAATAGTGTATGAAAGAGGGGTTGACTAGATCATCGTATGCACGTCCGAAATGTGGGAAAAGCATGAAATTGAGAGAAAGAAAGGGTCAAAAGGCAATAAATGGTGGTTTTGTAGGAATCAGTCTAGTGTGAAAGAGGAAAGGCATGATGTGTGTAGGAGTGTAAGTAAAGGGTCTTGGTTTGGTTTCAGTAATTTGGATTGCCTGCTTGCTTGATAAAATTAGTGAATGGGTGTTGCTGAGCACCACAATCATTTCCGACTGTTGGGCTGCTTATATAAATGTCTGCAAGACGAAGGTATTGATTGATTGATTTCGGCATTTAGAGGTAAACCACAGTTTGACATACCCGTGTGCCTGGTAACAGGTGTGCATAATAATACCATGGAGGGTGTGTAAACGATTCTTGGAAGTTCTACAAATCGAACTGAAGAAATGTTGATTCTATCTGTACGAATTTTATGTGGAGAAAACGTGGTGCTTAAATCCTTTTATCCGGGGGCACACGAGATTTGGCGACTGTGATGAGCATAAAAATGGGACATATACGATGAGTAGGAAAACGGGTCATTCAAATAATATATATAGTATAATTATGTGTATACACACATAGTATATAGAAATTCTTTGGATCATTTTTTAGTTGGCGATAATTTTCAAAATCGCGCCAAGGCTGCACAGTATACTAGGATATTACTAAAAACGTCATAAGCACTCCGTTAAAAATGACGTTTTTTTTAAAGTCATTTCTTGCCGATATCGCAAGAATATATCCCCTCACTTTACGAGATCCGACGCCCGAAGTAGTAGAATTTTATGAAACACCTTTTGAGGACGATGTTTCAGTCATCTATATTCCTGGGACACACTAATAATAATTTAAACAATAAGTGCAGCGATTTGGAGATACAACCTTTTTTTTACATTCAGGTAAGTGAAAGTATTTTAATTTTTCAGTGTTTTCTAACGATTTTAAGTGTTTGAAACTTACTATGTTTGTGAAACGATTATATGT